TGAAATCAATAAAAATATATTTAAAAAAATAAATATCAGCCACCAAATTATCAGGCTAAGGAAAAAAATCATATGATCGAATTATAAATAACATTTCAATAAGTTCCATAAGCATTCATAATCTTAAAAAAACTTTCAGAAAACCAAGAATGGAGGAAAACTTTCTCAACTTAATAAAAAAAAAAATGATCTACAAAAAACTTCCAGCTAACTTAATGGTAAAAGAATGAATACTTGCCGAAACCGGTTTGGCTCAGTGGATGGAGCGTCGGCCTGCGGACTGAAGGGTCCCAGGTTCGATTCCGGTCAAGGGCGTGTACCTGGGTTGCGGGCACATCCCCAGTGGGAGATGTGCAGGAGGCAGCTGATCGATGTTTCTAACTCTCTATCTCTCTCCCTTCCTCTCTGTAAAAAATCAATAAAATATTAAAAAAAAAAAGAATGAATACTTTACTTCTAAGATAAAAAGCACAAGGACATTCACTCTCACCACTCTTATGTAACATATTTGGAAAATAATACCTCGCATTATAAGACAAGGAAATGAAGTAAAAAGCATACAGGTTGGAAAAGAAGGAAAAAAATCTGTCTCCATTTGCAGCTGACGTGTTAGTCTGCATAGAAAAGACCAAGGCAGCTACAAAAAACCTTTTGGAACTAAAACATGAGTTAAGCAAGGTCCAGGCTACAAGATCAACACATAAAGATGATTTGTATTGCTCTATACTAGTAAGGATATGTGGATATTAAAATTAAAGTTAAAAATACTTAGGTATAAATAGGAAAACCACTTTAGGTCTTATACTCCAAAAACTAAAAAATTACAAAACACCGATGAAGGAAATTTTATTTATTTTTTTTGAAAGAAATTAAATGAGGCGACATAGACGCACATGTTCATTCCTTGAAAGACTCAACATAGTAAAGAAGTCATTTCTTCCTAAACTAATATGCAGGTTTAACTTCATTGCTATCATAATCCTAGCAAGATCTTTTGTATAAATATACAAGAACATCTTACAATTTTTCTTGAAAGACAAGGCTACAACAATTTTTAAAAAGAAGAATCCTCTCGGTCCCATATTGAACTCGAGTTGGAAGAGGCGAGTCCGGTCTCAAAATGGAGGGCCATGATCCTAAGGAACCAGAGCAGTTGAGAAAACTGTTTATTGGTGGTTTGAGCTTTGTAACTACAGATGACAGTTTAAGAGAACATTTTGAGAAATGGGGCACACTCACAGATTGTGTGGTGATGAGAGACCCCCAAACAAAACGTTCCCGGGGCTTTGGTTTTGTGACTTACTCTTGTGTTGAAGAGGTGGATGCAGCAATGTGTGCTCGACCACACAAGGTTGATGGGCGTGTAGTAGAACCAAAGAGAGCTGTTTCTAGAGAGGATTCTGTAAAGCCTGGTGCCCATCTAACAGTGAAGAAAATTTTTGTTGGTGGTATTAAAGAAGATACAGAAGAATATAATTTGAGAGACTACTTTGAAAAGTATGGCAAGATTGAAACCATAGAAGTTATGGAGGACAGGCAGAGTGGGAAAAAAAGAGGATTTGCTTTTGTAACTTTTGATGATCATGATACAGTTGATAAAATTGTTGAGAATGTGCTGGAGTTTAGCATCAAATATAAACAAAATATGAGCTGTCTAGATACATGCTCTTGGGACCATTTTTTACTCTTTTTCATTCCTTACCCATGTCTGAGGTGTGCTAGTGGGCCTCAGTTTGTGGTGGAGAGAATTTGATAGTTCTCAAATCACTTTTCAAGGAGTTGCAAGTTAGTGTTGTAGAGTATGCTGTCATGATGGTTAAGATGATATATGTATATTAGAAGAGGAAATAATTGTGTAAATCAGCCACAAGTAAAAAACCTTTGTAATTTCAGGTAACTATGGTGGAGGTGGAAACTATAATGATTTTGGAAATTACAGTGGACAACAGCAATCAAATTATGGACCCATGAAAGGGGGCAGTTTTGGTGGAAGAAGCTCGGGCAGCCCCTATGGTGGTAAATAATTTTCATTAAAACTTTTTAGAACTTTTTAATTTACAAACTCGTGTATCATATTTCTTTTAAAACTCTCTACCTGCATATTTCCAGGTGGTTATGGATCTGGTGGTGGAAGTGGTGGATATGGTAGCAGAAGGTTCTAAAAACTCAGCAGAAAAGGGCTACAGTTCTTAGCAGGAGAGAGAGCGAGGAGTTGTCAGGAAAGCTGCAGGTTACTTTGAGACAGTCGTCCCAAATGCATTAGAGGAACTGTAAAAATCTGCCACAGGAGGAACGATGATCCATAGTCAGAAAAGTTACTGCAGCTTAAACAGGAAACCCTTCTTGTTCAGGACTGTCATAGCCACAGTTTGCAAAAAGTGCAGCTATTGATTAATGCAATGTAGTGTCAATTAGATGTACATTCCTGAGGTCTTTTATCTGTTGTAGCTTTGTCTTTTTCTTTTTCTTTTCATTACATCAGGTATATTGCCCTGTAAATTGTGGTAGTGGTACCAGGAATAAAAAAATTAAGGAATTTTTAACTTTTCAATATTTGTGTAGTTCAGTTTTTCTACATTTTAGTACAGAAACTTTAACAAAATGCAGTTTTGAAGGTGTTTCCTTGTGAGTTAACAAGTAAAGAAGATCATTGTTAATCACTATTTTGTATGAATTTTGCTAAAGTTAACTGTAAAGAAACACCTACTGACTTGCAATTTAAGGGGAATCTATTCTCCCCATTTCCAAACCATGAAATGAATGGGCTCTGACATGTGGAGAGAATAGATATTTGTATGTTTGCAATGTGTGTTTTAGATAAATAGAATTGGGTATTTAAATTAGCATATTTGTGACTTTGATGACATTAAAATTTACCTTCAAATGAAAACTCAAAATTCAAAATAAATAAATAAATAAATAAAAAATAAAAAGAAGAATAAAGCAGGAAAAATTGCTACACTATCTCAAGATATTATGCAGCTACAGTAATCAATAGTATATGATATTGACAGCAGAATAGGCACATAATCAATGGAACAGAATAGAGAACCAAGTACAGCCAAGTAATTTTTGACAGATGTGCCAAAGTAATTCAATGGAGGAAGAATAGCGCTTTCAACAAGTGGTTACTGCAAAAAGTAGATATCCACTGTTAAAGAAAAATCCATCTCAAACAAAGTTTTATACCTTATCCAGTAACTAATACAAAACGGAGTGGGGCAATCACTCAAGTGGGAAGGAGGATACTCTACTGGATGTCATGAGCTATTGGTCTGAAACAAATGGGATGTTTACGTAGCATTCTGCTATCATTGAATATCTATGGTGCTACCATCAGAAAGGCCCCATCTAGGGTTAAGGAGGACTTTCTTTGGGAATTATTGCTTTCCATCAGACCCCTCACTTCCTCAGAATTCCAACTCATTACATAAGGCCTCAGTTCCCTCTTCCAGTTTCTAGAACAGAGCATTATTTTGTCATGCACACTCAATGGTGCAAGTTAATGGTCTGGTGTTCTGCGTGGCATAGCATTCTGCCCATCTCCGATTCGTCACCCATGATAGACCAGTAAAGGTGACCACTTAGATTCCCAGCTGTCTAAAATGTTTTGGGTTCCTCAGCATACAGAGCTTCCTCTCTTTCAGAAGCCATGAATCTCCTGATGCTGACCTTCATTCTATGTGGGTTACTAACTCCAGTGACCAAAGGTAATGGAACCCTAGAATGCAAGGATGAAGGAACGAGGATGAGTTATTGACATTGAGCTCCTACGTGTTACCAAGGGGGAAAAGGGCCCACTGGAAAAGTCTTGGGCCAATAAAGAGTAGCGCAAAATGCTCTTACTATGGCAGCTCCATATCCCTACTCTCTAAGAATTTGTTAGAGGCACCTATCAAGCTGGGTGTCTTCTGAAACATTTCTCCAAAGACACAAATTTTCTCAATCTTCTCAGCAGCCTTATATGTCTCTCTATGTAACCAACCAGTGTTAACTCAGCCTCACTTCACTTCTATTTGAATGATTTCATTGTTGTACCTGTTTCATTGTTGTGTCCTACTAGCTAAACTCTTACTACCATCTTGAATTCTCTTTTCTCATGAAAGTATCTTCACAGGAGTCTTTTATTTTTATGTTCTGAGATATGGCGAACAAGTTCATCACACTGTTTGTAGATTCTGCAGAGCTGTCATAAATTTGAGTTATAAGGGGGATAAATTAAGACAGAGATAAAGACTAATATGCAAGACCAATGGCGAGCTTCTATGATACTAGATAAAAATGAATGAGTTTGTTCCTCTTTTGAATAATGCTACTACTGAAATTATTATACTTGCAAGTGTTAAAAAGTGTCAAGCAATTGATAGGTTTATATAAGTTTAAGGAAAAGTACCATACTTCCATAGAACAACAGTTCTTCAGTCTTCCCTTCAGAATTTCTGAATCAATCATTCTAACCAGTTATATATAGTAGCAGGTGCAAGTGTATATATACATTTTCAAGGAGACAGCATGTGATGGCTTTGTAAAGAAACTTTTTACCAAGCGAAGAAATAAATATATGCATACTATATACACACGTATGTAAATATATGTATGATATGTATCTCTTAGATTTAAAAAATCCAGTTCATATGAGCCATGTGGATTCTTCTGCAATGTGCTAGCAATATGTCTTAGAGACTTCTTATCAATATATAGACTGACTTTATTATTATTAACACATCCATACATAGAACTTAAGGTGTATGTGTGGATGAGTTTCCTTACTTCATTTAATTCATCCACTACTGCTGGAAAACCAGTTTTTAATTATCAGAAATGATTCAGTAAGAAAACTTTGTAAATAAAAGTCTTTTATTCATGACTATACACACAAATACACACACACATGCACACAAGATTGTCAACCCACCAAGTGGGCTACATTACTTTTTACTTTTATCACAAGTGTGTATCAGCTTCTCACATACTCATTATTACATTTTTCATCAGGTTATTTCAACTATTTCATTTTGATGTATGAAAATATCTTTTTTTTTGTTTAAATTTATCACACTTTAACTATAAATGAGTTTGAACATCTATCCCTTTGGGATTTTGAACTCTTTCTTATTTATTTTAAGAGTTCTTTATATACTAAAAAAATGGGTTCTTTTAAAGTTTGGAGATATTTTGCTTAGAAAGGTTTTCACTTCCATGAAATGGACATAAAAATTCTCATGATCTTATATCTTAATTCATATGGCAACATATTGATTTAGTAAGTGAGGTAAAGATTAATATCTATACTCAATTCTGATTATGAATTATTTGCTGAAATTTTGTAAAGTTTTGAAATATGAAAGAAGTAAAGATAAGATTTTGCTCTATTGCTTTCCCTCAGATTCCTTGGATACCAGGTGAAGAAAAGTGTGTAGTCTACCTTGTAATTTTCTATTACACCATTAGTATTTTCTCATATAGTAAATATTTTTCAAAAACTGAATTTTCAGTGATTGCATAACATTTTATGGAATGGATACTCTGAAATTATTTATCCAGTTTCTTAATTGGGCATTTATGTCCTTATTGTTTTTGCTAATAAGTGTACTTATATTTCACATGTAAGTATATTCCATGTAACTATTCTTAGATATACCATTCAACATAAAATTCCTCAAAATGAACCTGATTCCTATCTGCTTAGTGTTTGTTGTCAATTTCTGAATATTACAAATTTTTAAAATAAAGGAAAACATCTAAATGTATAATTTTTTCCCCATTTCTTTGACTATGGAGAAGTCAAACTTAAAATATATATTTATTGTGTATTTTAATTTTTCTATAAATTATGTGGTCTGCCTCTTTTTCCCTTTTATTTTGGGGGTAGTTTTTATTCCTGTTAATTTACAGATTTTCCATTATAGGTTCCATTTTAAAACTTAACTATTTGATGTGTTTGACTTAATTATTGTGTGTTTTCAAATGAGATAGCATCTCATGGTTTCATAAAGAAACTTTTTACCAAACCAAGTTGTCCATCAACAGGCTGCTGTCAATAGCTATAAGTCAGTGCTATCTGATTCTATATTTGGCATGTTTTAGAGAGAATTCACACATGGGATAATGTTTTGGCTAGGTGGCTTATGTGTCTGAAATAATACAGTTGTTATTCATATATTTTAGTTTTACGGTTTTGAGATATTGGTGACAGAAGCCACAAGTCCTAACAACATAATGATTCTAGATTGAGGAGTTTTGCAAAAAATGACTCCTGTCATTATTTTATTGATTTATTTTTAATTTTTATTATTTTAAAAAATTTCTTTATTGATTAAGTTATTACATATGTGTCCTTATCCCCACATTACCTCCCTATCCCCCCACTCATGCCTTCACCCCCCTGTTGTCTGTGTCCATTGGTTAGGCCTATACTGTCATTATTTTTAAAAAATACATTAAGTTATAGATTGCTCCCGGTTGTGGTTATTGTATTGCTTAAGCTATATTCTTGAAATTATCTTCGATATTTTTAGCTGTGGCATTCAGATCTATCAAAAAGTCTGTGACATCTACCTGCAAATTATATCCAGAACCAACGAACCTCACCACCTCCACTGCCAGCACTCTAATTCACGTTACTGTCATGTCTCACCTGTTACTGCGATAGCTTCCTCACAGGTCTCTGTCCTATCCTTGGCTCATGCAGTCTACTGTCAAGATAGCATAGAGCATGATCTGCTCACCCTGGAAGTCAGATTATGTCTATTTTCTGCTCAAAACTCTGCAATGGCTCCCCCTTCTTCACTCAGAGCAGTAACCAGGGTTCTTATAGTGGCCCACCTGGCCCTCCATGATCTGGTCCTTAGGACGTCTCTCACCTCATCTCTTCCTATGCTAGTCCTTGCTCACTTTGCTAGAGCCACACTGGCCTCAATGCTGTTCCTCAAACATGCCAGGCTTGCTGGACCCTCAGAGTTCTGTTTGTTTCTTCTGGTTAGAATGTACTTGTCCCCGGTATCAGTGTGGCTAATTCCCTTACCTCTTTCAAGTCACCGTTTAATTGTCACCTTCTTTCAGTCCTATGCTAACTGCTGTTTAAGAAATTGCAATCTGGCCCCATATTGCAAACAGATTCCACTTAAATCTATTCGCTCCTATTTCTGCAAACCACTGATCACCTTCTCGCATACAAGATAACTTACTTGTGTGTGTTTTTTTATTGCCTGTATTCCCCTAAGTTACATGTGATTTTGTCTGTTTAGTTCACAAATGTACCTCAAGTGTCTAGAATTGAGTCCGCACCATAGTTAGGGGCTCAAAACTGTGCTGAATGAGGGATTATGCCCTAAATTTTAACGTTGGAGGGAATGGTTAAAAAGGAGTAGTGAGTAATGCAAGTAAGAAACGATTTTGATAAAAACTTGACAGACCAAGATGATTTAAAGAGTTTAGGAGAGATGAACTGAGAAACTTCTGATTTCAAGTATGGGAACCCTGGAGGAAAAGAAACGATAATCTCTGCAGAAGTGAGGAATGGAGAAGCAATGATAGATTTTTGTTTTCGATGAAGCAAGTGAAATGTCTACATTTTTAAATTTTTATTTTTCAATTACAGTTTACATTCAATATTTTGTATTAGTCTCATGTGTACAGTATAGTGGTTAAACAATTATATAATTTTCAAAGAGTTCCTCCCCATATTTCCAGCACCCACTTGGTAACATCAGACTCATAGATACAGAGAACAGACTGCTGGCTGCCAGATGGGAGGGGGGTTGGAGAGTTGGGTAAGAAAGGTGAAGCGATTAAGAACTATACATTGATAGTTACAAAATAGTCATGGGGATGGAAAGCACAGCATAGGGAATATAATATAGACAGTCATATTGTAATCTACATTTTAAACTTAGAGAAAATTCT